ATTATTTACAGTATATGGTAGGTAATAATCGCATGAAGAAAAGAAGCAAAAGGACCCTTTTTACCAAATCAAGCATGATTTACTTTTAAACATGATTTCCTATAATTTGTTTACGTTGTTCTCGTGAAAATCATAAACTTGAAAAAGGATCACTAAATTGGGTTTACCCCCAAAAATTCGAAATTTAACAGGATTTTATTTACGTTTCACGAGGTTCCAGATTGAATGAATTGGATTGTCAGTCGTGTTAAAGACGCGTAATTCTCTTTAGTTTATATGCTACGGAAAATGGTGGAAATTGTGTAACATGGATTCGTGTCACTGCTATTATTGGATAAGATTTGAAATCATATTTTTCGGAAATAAACTCCGGAAAGACTCAGCATCCAAAAAATTTTCTTTTGTTGTACATCTATAGAATTATTTCAATGGTCTAAAACTTATAATATACATCTGTTGATTTAAATAGATGAGTCATGCATATAATAAATAAATACTATATATAAATGCAGCCTGACAAAACTTTCATTCTTTACTTGAAAAAAAAAGTTTTGATTTCTACGTCTCTTTAATTCTTTTTTGTACATAAAATTTATAAAATGAAACCAGAAGACATAAAAGTACCGTTTCCGCCGCAAATCAATCCCAAAGATATCCTGGAAAAACGAAGGCAAAATCGAGTATCTTCAAAAAGTCCAAATGCATTCTTCATTTATCGTATTGCATATTTGGATCAGTTAAGGTTACATAAACACCGAATTAAAATGACGGACATGTCTGGTTATGTCAGTGCAGCCTGGAAAAAAGAACCATCTCATGTTAAAGCAGAATATAAAGAACTTGCTCGTAAGGTTGGAAGATTAGTTATTGACGCAAGGCAACAAGCACTCATCCAACGCACTACCTCTTCAACGATTAACTCGCAACAATCACACATAAAACAACCTCCTCCTGCTCCAATTCTTCTCGTGCCTCAGCAATACACGAATTTTTATAGTCACGATAACCTTTGCAATTTAAACGATAATCAATACTTCAATAATCAATTACCAATGAATTGGAATCGGATCGATCATTACCCACATTTCTCCACTCAGAATTACTCGCAAATTACGAATTTTGAAGGGAATCACTCGTTTAATAGTAATCAACTTTCGACACCTTTGCCTGATAATATGGCAATTCCGATTCTCAGTGAAGGACATTGTCTTACCTTTGGTCATTTTTCTGACGTTCAACAACAATCGCATTATAACGAGTATAACCATCCTAATGATTTCATCGAGGAAAATATTGGTGTATGAGTTTCCTCAAATAGCTAAGATAAAGATATTAAAATAAAATTAAAATAAAAATTACTTTCTCTTCTTCACCTATTTTTAAATTAGAACATAAATTTTTTTTTGTTTTTATTTTATTTTTATTTTATGATTTATTATTTTTTATGTAAATTTTTGATTATGTAATTAAGCCTCCTATTTTAATATGTTGACTATATAAAATAATAATAATACTAATATATATATATATCAGTATATGATTTTTATCGTTAAAATATGACGTATGAAACAAGTTTTAATTTTTAAGGGTTCATGAATAAAATTTCATCTATTTTAAGGTAGCATGATTTCCCCTCAATTATTTATTATTTTTCCTTATATATATGTAAAAAAACAAAGCCCCAATAATTTTACTTGATTTGAATGTTAAATGGTATGATTTTCGTTTAATGACACGTGATTCGCATGGCGTTAATATTCAAATTTTTATGCACGATAAGGTTTATCCTTAATGTCAGGGAATTAAAAATTTTTTGTGAAAAGCAGAAATTGGATTAGGCAAGAAAACCCCCAAATATAAAAAAAAAAATATTAAAAATCTTTATGCTCTTTATTATGCACGATTTAAAGACGTATAGAATATTGGTGCCATACAGTTAAAGTTTTTATTGAATAAAAACGAGAATGTAAAAATAAATGTAAATAATAAAAGAATTCGAAAAGACTTAAAGCTAAAAAAACTAAGTGATGGTTCGATTGAAAATTTTTAAACCTGAGAAATATTTACAGTTTAGAATGAGATGAAAAACTTTAAACTTGAGAAAAGAATCGTTTTTTATAAACGCGTTTCCTTTTTTTCTGAAAAAAAAAAAAAAAAGTGTTCTCTCTCCCAGAAAACATGATAAATTAATCCTTTCAACTAAAGATGGTACCTATAATTATTTCAAATTTCAATTAAGTTGCAACTCAATTGCGCCATTTTTTTTAATTGCGGTGACCATCTTTACTTTCAACCTTTTCTTAAACCGCTTCTTTAACATATTGTATAATAGATTTTAATGAAACTCATTAATGCGTGCATATATAATATACATCATAATGGATGAAAAACAAATATTTTTAAATGTGTATGATGATTGTATCAAAAAATTGAATATTTGCTTGCGTATTGTTTTGAGGTATTTGGGTCGAAGGAATTCTTACCGATTCACCTTCCACGTAGGGTCGAATATTTATGTTTATGTTTCTTTCAACTTCTTTTTTAACAGAATTGTTACGTTCCAAAATGTTTAGTAAAGTTCATTATTTAAAATTCTCTGAAATTTATTTTTAATACTAATAATTTTATTTAAATAAATAAAAGTTTGGTTTTTAACTGTATTATAATAAAGATGTAAAGATGCTAATTTTAGTCGGAACCTGACTTGAGCATTCAAATACATAAAATATCACTTATAAAAAATAAAAATATATATAAATTATAGACAGCAACGACAGAAGAACGATAAAAATTTCCCGATTAATTAGGTACCATCATCTTGAATTGCTGTTAGTTGTTTTTTTCAATATACAGTATAGTTGGAAGGGTTATTGTTCTAACTTACAAATAGTACGTTATGCAGCATAGAACCCATTTTAAAAATAACATTATCGTTATATTGTAAATTCTTTGTGGAAAAAAATTTGATTCATCATAACCTAATTTATTTATTCACCCTTTATTCCTATTTTTATACCAAGGAGATAAGCCAAGGATCACATTTCCCCTTAGCGGTATCCCTGATTATGCATCATGCAATTAATTATACGACATGAGAAGTTTCGTGATTCTGGATAGATGACAACAATATTACTGTATGTTTTAACGTGCATTATGTATACCCCTCTTTTGTTTTGCTCCAAGATTTTCTTGATGATATCCAAGTGCTGGTAACATTTCAAGTTGACCAACGTTAAATAGCGTGTGTAACACGCCAAGCATATCCCACCAAATAACTACAATCTACCGGAAATTCTTTACATTCTTTCGAACATGAAGTACATGACATCTCCTGAATATTAACATTCATCATACCCTTTTCACTAATTTTAGTTTTATGAAATAAAATTCGATCTCCCCATTGATTTCGTCATTGCTTGAAAATCTTTATTTACATGATCCGAGATAATAATAATGAATGCACCTGTGATTTTACATTACCGTTATTTATGTTGAAATACTGTAGATATATTAGATGAGGAAAAAACAACTCCGATTCAAACTTCCTTTTTTTATAGATATGTTTTGGTACAATTACTTAGGTTAAACGATACGATAAACCTATAATTAGCATGATCAATAATAATAATAATAATAATAATCTATTCGAGAGATGAAATTGACCCGAGTATGCTTGATTTTATTTGGAAAATAAATTAATTACCTTTATTTATCCCTTTAAATAAAATAAACACGCAAAATCGGTAAAGGATAAAAGTTTAAACCTTGTTTTTGTAACAAGGGTTTGTGAACAATTGAGTATAGAGTTCCTTTCTTCCACTTTTGGAATTTTTAAATTTCTTCCATGCAAATTGCTTCTCCTTTTAACGTTACAGACCAGGTTCTGCTCACATGCCTTTTTTTCATTTTCGCTTACCTTAATAGTTAACAAATGATTTTTCTTCACCGAGTTGACGCTGAGATCCTTTACATCTTCACATTTTCCACATGGCAATTAAAAAAGAATACAAATATTCATCATTGTAAACTAAAAAGGAAACTTCTGTACAAATTTGGACAAACGTGCTTGCAAAAAAAAAAATTTTTTTTTCTTTTCTTTTCCTTTTGATCAAATATTTTGTTGAATGCTTGCATGATTACTTTTAAAGCATTTCCATTATTGGTGACGGTGTGACCTTCAGACATTTCCATTTCTCATTATGATTCACATATCGTGTAACGTTAGCGTGGTTTATCGTCATAATCTTCGAAAAGAATTTATCGTTTTGACGAAAGAATTTGGCTAGCGCAAATTCGCGGATGTCTCGGACCGTAAAGATTTTACCTTTGATTATTGATTTTATGTTTTTGACCCTAATCTCCAAAGAAAGAAACGGGAATCAATTACGAAACTGATCAAAGACCCCGTTCCTTAGATCCCATAGTGAATAAGGTTTTTTTTGTTCACAATGAGACTTTATTATCCGCAATTTTGCGTCCGTGATATTTTGATTAGAATTCCATGTTAAATAAAGTTCACTTGTTGAACGTCAAATAAGTTTGCTGTGTCACTAAGTTACTAATGAGAAATCATTATGAATATTTTCAAATACTTGTACTTGTCATATCAGCTCATTCCCGAAAGTCATACAATCTGATAAATCATCACAAAGTATTTAAAAAGGTCGACGAAATGGATCAAGTTTTTTCTTTTTTTTTTTTAATTAATGAGTAACGATATTTCTATATTTAAATTCAAAAACAAACATTAACGTGATTCAAGGTATCATTTTAACAACCACTCCTTCCTTACTTTCGTTAAATCCAAGACTTTACGTCCAACTTGTTGTTAATGGCAAGTGCTTCTTGTACTTTCTCATACTACACCTCCCCCTCCCTCTCCCTCCCTCTCTTTTAATACGTATAAAATAAATAATTTTTAAAGTATTTTATAACTTTGATTGATACTTTTTTGAATCATTCCCTTTAACATTCCCCTTTAACGTTTTTTTTTTTGAATTATGGGTGACAAATTATCAGGTGTTGGTAAAGAAAGTGGTAATAAAAGCTTTGGTGAAAAAGGATCAAAAATTGAAACCAAATTCCCCATAACTAATTCTCCAGATTTTGTTCAATATGAGAGAAATGAAAGTTCTGCAACCCCTTCAAGTAATTCCGTCGACCAAAGTAATGTAAAACGACAATGTACCGGAAGTAACCTTCTCGTGAATCCTCCATTTCCACCAAATGTCGACCCGAGTGCTTTGGCGATTGACCTCTTGAATAACAAGAAAACGTCCAAGAAATTGTTGAATGAATTTTTCATATTTCGTAAGGAATTCGTTCGAGAACTTAAAAGACAGAACCTTCGTCCGAGACAAACCAAGGTATCCACTTTAGCATCTACTTCTTGGCACTTGCAACCACCTAGCGTTAAAGATGAATACAGGAGGTTGGCACGAGAAACTGAAAGGTTTTTGATGATCGCTCGCTCGAAAAAACATGAGGATAGCAAATCGACCAAGACGGAATCTATCAAATCTAGTCGCACATCTCCGGATCCCGCACCGGATTCTACATCCATCAAACCTTCATCTGCTTTACCTGTATCCAATCCCAACAATCTCCAAATATCCGTCTCACCTCAAACATCACATTTTGAACATCAATTGTTTCGAACGTATGATGCCTTAAACCCTTCTGTATTAAATCCTTCCTTGCGACATACCACAACACAACTAGCGTCGGATCTTCAGATATCACAACCGAGCGTTTATGCGTCAAATAATCCATTAAATTTTGAAAGGGTTGGTGTCAATTCGGGCGACAGATCGATCCAGCTAGATACTTTTGAAGGGATTTTTCTATATGGTCAAGGTAACGTGAATTCGATGCCTGCAGGATGTCAAAATTTAGGAAATAATATTCTGAACTTGGGCAACCTTGATACTTTAGAACATCAACATTTCTTACACCTGAGAACGTCGGAACCGTATGATTATAGGAATACAATGTCATATCATTCACAACGACAAAGTTATCCGGAATTTCTCGAACCTTCTTGGTCAACTTTAGGTGATAACCTCTCTCAATTTACCGATATGTCTCCCGTCAATCGGCTCGTATCTGTAAGTTCATCTGGGCAACATGATTATCCGAGCCCTTATCAAAGGCAATACGTTGAAACTTCCATGATAACCAGAAGTTTGGAAGCCGAAAAAGTACCAATAGTACCTTCTCAAAGGTATCGTAATCGTAACGCACCATCGGTTCAAGGGACAAACATCGACACGTCAACTTCTTCTTCTGTTCAGTCGACCAAAATTCCTTTGGAAATTTTGCGAGGGATGACTCCCTCGCCTTAGATATATTTGAAAAAAAGTATCATCGTTTTCTCAAAATTTATTAACCACGACCATTTTTCAACATGTAAAAGCTTTATTACTTCGATATGACGGTATGTCAAAAAAAAAAAAAAAGAAAAGAAAAGAAAAGAAAAGAAATGAATGATTCGAACACAAAAAAATTAAAAAAAATTCGTTGTTATATTATTGGATTCAACCATTAAGAATTTAGATAAGGATACAGTATATAAGGTTAATTAATTATCACAAAGAAAAGAAAAAATAAAAGTTTGTTTAATTGTATTGTATGTATAACGATAATAAGTACCAAGTTAATAAGCAATAAATTAAGAATCGGATCTCGTCAAATTAATATTCCGGTTGACCTTGTATAAAGTTCAAATATTATCTCTCTAATCTTGATCTTTGATGATGAAGATAATTATTAAGGTTTCATTTTTAGACATGAATTCTTTTTTTTTTATTTTTTTCTTGGAATCAGAGTTATTCTAAGACTATAAAAGACAAAGTATTATTTTCAAAGAGCATGAATATCATATTGTAATACAATTTAAGAGGCAATGATGTAATCCAAGAAATGGACAAACAACGCGATAAGTGAGCATGCAACGCGCGGGTAAATCCTCTTGTTTTAACGAATTGGGAATAAAGCGTGTAAATGATGAGATTAAATTCATCAATAGCCGAGATTGAAATGAAATTTCAAAATCATTTAAGGTTAAGCTTTATGTAATTAATATTGCATTATTTATCAGACAATCTGATCAAATCAGACCTGTGCGAAATAAAATACATGATCAATTGACAATGTATTTGCACACTTTAAAAGAATATGTATTTATGCGAGGTCGCAAACAATTATTGATCATAGATGCCACTAAATGGTGACACCTTTGATGCAATTTAATGATTTTCAAAAAAAAAAAAAAAAAAAAATGAATTATTAATATTAAACACGTTGTAAAAATTGTTTCCTTTCATTAATATCCGTTTCTCCTGTTTCTCATCGAATTTAACGGTTAGTCTCAAACCTTTTGAGGGTAAACATTCATGCAAGAGACATCACGAATTTCAAAGTCAACGAAGTAATTTGTTAGGTTATTTAACCGAGATGTAACTTATTGCCATTAATTTATTGTGGCGCAAAATGACTTTAATGAAATCTTTAATGTTTCACACCCGAAGAAGTCTTATCCTTATTAATCAAAGTTATTGTTAATCGCCATTTTGAGAGATGCTTGGCTAAATTAGTATTTAGTATTACCAACCTTAAATCTGGCCGATTTTTTTTTATTTTTTAAATTTCGTTAACAAAGAAAAAAAGATTAAAAATTTTGTTCTTCCAAAAATTTAATAAATCTTTTTAGGGATCATAAATTGTTTATCTTCGTCATTATGTTGCATTTATTTACTTTTTGGAACTTGGATTTGTCATGAATGTTTGCCTGTAACCAATGAACAAATGATCTTCAACACCACGTACTTTCATTCTTATTTACCAAGCAAAGGGACAAGATTTAAATTCTCTTGTTATTTATTACATTGTCACCTCCTAGGTGTCTTTTGCAGAAAGCTTCATATCATTTAAAACTAGCAAATTTAAAATTCCGTTCAAACTCTTGAAACTCGGCACGTGTATTTGTTGTGTGGACAAGCCACGATCATGTGACTGGGTTTTTATTGATCCGGCAACAGCGGTGGCGGGTGGTCCGGCCGATAGTCAATTTTTTTTTTTTTTTTTTGTAAAAAGAAAAACCATTGGATGGCGAACCATCCACATTTCTTTTACCCTTACTTGAAAAGAGCAAAAGGGAGATCTTATACTTTATGGCAGAATTTACGACCTAATATGGAACATCTTTTATATCAAAATTTGAATTCGTTTATGACACCCCAAACAAATAAAAATATCAACCTCAGTGAAGGTGGCGTAAAATCAAATTAGTGAGCTGATAAATAATTGATCTCGTTTTTCTTCCAAACCATGCAACGTGAAGAATATTACATATTACATAAAAGATTATCCTGCAAACAATAAATTTATGATTGTCGCACACAGAGTCGATCAACAATTTTTATTCTTCTATAAAAAGCGAACTAAAAACCAAAAGGGTTTGAGTACCGACAGGTTATCACTAAAAGAATTCAAATTATATTAGCACAATTTTTTTTTTTTTTTTCGCCAGCAAAAAAAAAAAAATATTAAATAAAAATATTATAAAAGGAAACAATTTTCACAACGAATTTTGACATTGATCTTTAATAAATTGAACTCTTCATTTTTTTTTTTTTTCAATCATTATTTTCTATTGTTACTTCAAAAAAATCGTTGGTAAAGATGACATTTGACAACACTCATTTGATCAATTCACAAAATGGTGAATTAATTTTACATCATGTTCCCCCTCAAGACATTCAACTTCCCTACCCTCCCCCATTTATTACCGTCTCAGATTTTATTAATAAAAGGGAATCTTCTGCAAGAATTTTTCGAAAGAGTCCGAACGCATTTTTCATATATCGTAAAGCTTTCACAAACTACCTTACTCTCCTCGATTACAAACTAACGATGATCGATGTGTCCAAGTTGGTCAGCTATCGCTGGAAGAATGAAAGCGAAGAAGTGAAGAAGGCATACATGAAAATCGCAAAAGAAATCGATGAAGAGCTAAAGGAAAAAAGAAAGCATGATAAAGTATGCCCGGTCGTCTGGAAAGTTGATAAAAAGTCCAAAAAACAGAAGCGGAACTCTAAAAAATGTTCAAAGAACAACTCTACGAGTGACTCTTTAACCGATCTCAAAGGTGCCGCCGCAGATACAACAGAGATTACGTACGAATTTCAAAATTGCCCTATTTCCGAAAATCAAAAAACTTCACGATCACTTGACAAAGTGAACGTGCAATCCAGCTTTGAAAATTCCCTGAATCCTGTCTCTTATCCGTTAGTAGAATTTTCTGGAATGATTTCAGGAGGGGATGTTAGAAGTTTTGACCACTCTTGCGGATCTCCATCCAATGATTCAGAAGAGGAATACGCTTATCACTTAAACGCTTGCGATCAAAATTTGTATCCGGTTTATTGTACCCGAATGTATCCGATCGAAAATCAAATTAATCCTCAAGTCTTGGAATACGATAATTTTGTTAATTACGATCTTCATAACAACTTCCTTCTTCAACATAATTGGAATCTTAACAATTTAAGCGTTATTGATTTATGTCCACTACAAGAATATAGTGAATATCATCATTAAGGAACTTTTTTTTTAAAAAAAAAAAGAAAAAAAAAAAAAAAAAAAAAAATTTTAAATAATAAGAATTTTCTAAGAAAATTTATTTATGAAATATATATATATATATATATATGCTTTAATTTAAAAAATAAGTGTCACTACATATTACATACATACAATGTTAAGAGACTATAAAAAAAAAAATTTTTTTCTTCACTTTATGTTCAAACATAATCATATGATCATGTAATATATTTTATGTATATCAAATTATTGAGAGTGATCCAATTTTTAGAGTTATCCATGCATTCTATTTATTTTGCAGCATATGTTTCATTATTTTGTCGAGTGAATGTAGATAATCGATTGAAATCGATACGCGTAATAAAGTACCTTTCGTGTACAAAAAGAGCGTCGTTTTTTTCCCCATTAAAAATATATTGCGGATATCAAATCGTTATATTATTTTATTTATGTTACCAACCACCTAAATAGACATATGAACTCCCATTTGGGAACGTTCTAAAATCGTTTGAAATGAAATTTTTTTTTTCAAAAATCCCTTTCCTATTATAGGACTACGAGTAATATCATAACAATACGTTATTAAAAAATATTTATTTACACGCGTTTATATTATAATTATATAAAGAGGAAACAATCAAGCGGGATCTCCGATGACCAAGTTGGGTTAGTTGAGTTAAAAGTTTCGCAAAATCTTTATCAAATAAAACCAATTTTACGCCTTATTATAAAAAATTAAATACACGTTATTTTATATAATTTGTCATCTATGATCAATATGTGATAAGAATTTCTTACTATAAAGTTTTAAATAAAATATAACGCGTTAATTATAACCATATATATATATATATATATTTATTTTCTATTTTATTGTGTTCATATGTGAAACCCTTAATTGTTAATTGTTTACATATGATATTATCTAAATTATCGAATCCTCAATATGTTATTAAAGGAACAAAGAAAAATAAAAAAAAAAAAATGTTACAAGTGAATCACATTATCAAAAAAGATAAATTAAATGGCTAAATTTTCTTGATAATGATCAATGGGAACCAAATAGGAATGACCTGTGAAAATGTAAGCTTCCAAAAAAAAATTCAAACAATGAGCCAAGAATAATTGCAGCTGAATTAAAAGAATAAAATATGCATCGGCGATTATAATCCGTAGTTAATCAGCCAGGGGGAACCGTACGCGAAGAGCGACAAAATAGTTCTATGTTTAGAATGCGCTTTGTTTATGACATTAACTTCTTTTTGTACACGAATTAATTTCGAATTCGGTAGTTCCCATACTTTTGAACTTAAGTTCTCTTTTCAGCTGATAATCTTGTAACAGTGAGGGAACAGAACGAATGAAAATATAAATAACAAGGTTATGATGAAAAGCAAATGATGGATTGTTTATGTAAATCATTCTTTGTTTGCATGAAAATTCGTCTTATTTTTCCTTTTGAAGACTGGTACAATCATCTTAAAACTTACATTTTTCGGTGTTGTAATCCGTTGTGCTCATAATTTTCTTTATGTGATCTTTTTTTGATTTGAATTATTCATTTTTTTTTTTTTTGTACAAATCTTTGTGCAACAAACATGATTGTTTTGTTTAAAAAAATTATATATAAAACAAGAATAAAATCATCATGCACGATTTCATAATTTTACATTGTCATTCTCCAAGAGAATGATATCATTACGTCACCCGTTAGTATCACGTGCATGGTGCGGTGGCAAATTCGAACAACAAATGATTCTTATGCATGTCGATTGCATTGCTTGTGCTTTATTTAGCAATTTAAAAATATCTTGGTGGTAGCACCTTTGAGGTTTAGACCAAACAATTTACTTTTTAGTTGTAAAAATACATGTGGCTATGTAATGCCACTTTTCGTTTGGTAGAATTCGGGGTGTCAAAATTATTTTTTTTCTAAATCGAGAAAATCAATTATAACTGGATCGACGAGATACTGCGTTATAGCGTAAGTCAAGGAAAACAAGTCTCATGTCCAAGTAATATGATGAATTGTTTGAGTTGAACTGTTTTTCCGTATACTGAAAACGATCGTCACAAATTACGTTTGAGAAAAAAAAAATAAAAAAAAAAAATAAAAGAACTAATTATCGTCTTACATGACCTAATATATATGCAACTGTTTTAAAATAGATTTGTTATCTTATTTTGGATCAATTGAATTCGGAATGACAAAAATAAATTTGAATTAATACTTTTTTTTTTTTTAATTAAAAGTTTAATTTAATTGATAAGTTTGATGTACTATCAGATTTGGAATTCACCATTTTTTTTTTTTTAATACTTCCAAATCTTCTTATTATTTGTCATACATGCGCTAACTTCCTTTTTTTATGTTAGCATGAGATTATATTATTTATTACTCTGGGTAAAAACTTTGGAAAAAAAAAAAAAAAAGATATAAAATTCACCTTCGTGGAGTTTTTTCCCTTCAGTTTTTTGAGTTGAAATTCGTATAATATCTTTACAATTTCTCAAAAAATTTATATTCACGCCTTTTTCTTTTAACGTCATATAATTTTTCGTTCAACGTTTTCAAATTCTCTTTGTTTCTTTGTCCAATGGATTATTTAAAGACCGAAACGCACGACATGTCTTGTTCAAATAAATGTTTTCAAACTACCAAGAAAACACCTTTAATAACGCTCCCGTATCCGCCTACTATCAAAGCTTCCGACATCGTGAATAAACGCAAACCTTCCAAGGTTACATCCAAGAGTCCCAATGCCTTTTTGATTTATCGCAAAGCGTTCCTAGAACAGCTTTCAAATTTAAAACACAATCTAAGAATGACCGATGTCTCAAAGTTGGTTAGCGGTTACTGGAAGAATGAACCGAAATATGTGAAGGACGCCTATCGTAAAATAGCGCAAGATGTGGAAATCGAATTAAATGAATTACGTAAGCAAACCGTATCCTACAGGATTATATGGAAGAATTCAAAGTATTCGGCTGTTCGTAAACGAAATCAAGGAAAGGCGGCAAAAAGTCAAGAAAGTAAGCCTGAAACGATTAATTCCAAAAAAGCAACACCACCAAACTGTGGAAATGTGTTTTATCAGTTTGTACCCACAGCATTTCCTAATGTCGAATTCACTAAACCTTCCAAAAAGAAGCCCAAAGAGGTTGTTGCACCAGCATCAGATCTCTTACCTGAGAAACCTCAGCAAGAATTAGAGCAATCATTTGATCAGTATATCAATTATCCGGAGGGGGATAGTAATTTAGAAATCGATTTGCAAGTTACAAACGAATGTAACCAGCCTATACAGCAAGATTATGTTTTCTTTGAGCAGCTGCAGCTGGATTGGTACTTACAAAACTTTTACCCTACTTATGGAACACAAGTATAAATTTTCTAAGCAATCTATTTTGATACATCGTTAAAATCTGAATTATTCAATTAATTTTTTTCCTATAATTATTTATGTAAATATATGCGCTTTATCTTCTTTTCTCATATGATTTTTTTTATTGTTTCGCATTTTCTTTGTTTTTATTTTTTTTTTGTTTGGGGACCCCCCTCCCCTTTTTATTATTTTCCTAATCAAAAAACAAGCCAGATTTACCACAAATGGAATTCGTTCCGTAATTGTAATATTTCCCCCTTTTTTCTTCTTTTAAAAAAAAAAAAAAAAAAAAAAAAATGAACCTTTTATACATATATTATTTATCATCAACTCTTTGTAAAATAAAATCGTATCTTGTTAAACGAGCTTTTCAATTTTACCTTTCTCGATGAGATTTGTCAACATAAAATAATTAATATTATGTAACGCAAAAACACTATTATTTTTTGCCTAATTCACGTCTAAACAATTTAGCCACAATGTATGCAAGAGACATGTAAATGGTGAAGTTTTTGCCGACCTGGTGGCTATTGTTAACAAATATGGTAGGATTACCTGCACCAAAAAAAAAAATGGTTAATTGTTTCGAAGTAAGAATATGCATAAATTTTAGTGTGTTTAAAATTAAAACCAATAAGAAATTCTTGGTATTATCATGCATACAGTTTTTCTTTTTTCATCCGAAATTGTTAGGAACCAAACATTTAATTTTAACAAAATAAAAATTCTTTAGTTTCCTGTTTATGAAACAGAAGGGAAATCCATAATGTAAACCTATTTGTGCATCAACGACCATAAGTACCTATCGATCTTCCCTCCAATGTATCAATGCGTCATTAAAAAGTGGCTGCATTTGTTTGTTACTTTGTTTGTAATTCATGTGGCTGTTCCCTGATTGCGAGATTGTTTCCTTATATAAACAAGGTTTCGGCTGAATAAACAAAATCGGTTAGAGACCATTTGTTATTATGTGACGTATTATTTGTTTTCGCGCCTATCCTAACCTGGTTATGTGAAACTTTGGATCAAAAGATTGACCGAGATGAAAAAAATGGCTTTTATGTTGGGTGACATTAAAATGAATTTGTCAGCAACGAAGCTTGTTCACTTATTCGCTACTTGTATGAACAAGTATTGGCAAATGGTAATTCCTGGGCAACTTTAAATCTCGGTTATACGATTTCAAACATTCAAAAAAGAACTCTATATATATCGTTAAACTTTATTTCAAATCTTGTGTAATTGTTGTGTTCTAAGGATTCCAAGAACTCTCACATTCTTTTTGCTCAGAAATCTTTATCATCTCTTTCCACCTATCCATGTATAGACTCGGAAAGTGTCGGATGTTTATAAGACGACGATTGCCGAGTTTTACCGATTTCTCGCGTACCCCGATTTAGATTTTCAGAGATCGTCTCTTCTGATATTTTTATTTTATTTGTAAAGTTTTATTTATCTTGACAAAAAGCTACATTAACATGAATTGTTATCTAACAATAATCATACTTGCTGTGGGCATTTTTTTTTCTTTTCAAAAAGGAGGTGTCGTGACGCAAGTTAAATTGGAAGGCCAATTACGATTGTGGCATTTAACTTTCATTGAATTTCACGTTGCTAATTGTTATGCACCTAGTTCATGTAGCAATATTTCTGGAATTATTCCAGATTTGAACATACAATTGTTAGAATCACCATTTTAAAATTGTAAACAAAAATAAAAAGACCTTAATATTTCATTAAGGCATGAATTCATTTTGTACATTATATTCTGACATCGAGCGAAGATTACGCCCACCCACATAATTGAACCCAATCAATTGTTGGAAAGTGCTACGTCCGATTTCTGGAGATGTTGGGGTATCTATTTATAGACCTGATCGTTCTTTAAAAGGCGTACGTCAAACAATTAATCAAATCTCGATATCATAAACAAACGTCTTGAAACAAGTTCGATATAATCTCATGTCAATGGGTGTTGTTCTTGCCTCCCAAATTTGGTCACATCGCGAACGTTTTAAAATTCGAAGGTGCCTACGATATTTACGATTGATAAATCTGGTTCGAATTAGCAGTCATAGATTAATTAATGTATTGAATGCCAACCGATAGCAAGTTCGATAAACATTCTTATAAACATATTTTCATGAAAAAGATAAATCTCAATTTGAAACCGTACTTGAGCATGCTTTCCGAATCGAGAATTAAAGTTTTTTGTATATACAATAAACAATGATACAACATAAATGAACCATCGAGAAGAAAATAAAATAATTGCCCATCATTATGTGATTCATTCATTCATAACCGTATTTAATTTTTATTTATTTATATTTTTTTTTTATTACATCATTTTGAGGTTAATTCTCTCTTTCTTTGACTTTCAGCTCGGTTCGGTTAGAACCTTAATCAATCAATGTATTTTGAATTTTCATGGATCAAAAAAAAAAAAATGTTTTCAGCGTTGGCATACAAAAATGAACCTTAAAAAAATCATCCCTTCAGATGTCCGATGACACTTCGTTATTTTGAAAAATAATAAAATAAATAAACAAATAAATTTGTTTCTGGTAGGTTTTTTTTTTTTTTTGGTTCCTCGTCTATAATTTCTGAAAATACCAAAAAATAAATATTAAATAAATAAATTAGCTACTTAAATAAAAAGGTCTATAATAATACTGTAACAAGACATTCCGCATTAAATCAATAAAACCAAAGAATCAAAACAGGAGATTCTATATTAATTTCCCGTAAAGATAAATTGAATGACTCGAGAGAAACAAACAACAAAGATCTCTAACGTCAACTAGCGTGAAATCAAATGTTGAAACATCAGAGATGTAAAAAATTATTATGAATTCCCTAAATCGTTCATCAGTTTTGAAAATAGAAATCTTTTAAGTAAACAACTACAACTGGTATTTGAATAAAAACTAATCAAAGGATGAAAACTCATGTTAACTGTAATGCGTAAGTGAGCGCGGAAAAAAATCTCCATTAGAGAAAATGAATTTGGGGAAATGCATTTGGTTCAATCGACCCATAATTGGAGAAGATCTCCTCCTAAAAGTTTTGAAGTGTTTCATAATGCCGAAATAAGAATTCGGAAGAAAGAATAAATTTTTTTTTTTTTTAAAAAAAAATTGCCATCTTTGTGAATTATGATGTTAATAAACCTTTATTTTGTCATATTTTGATATGATTAAAAAAAACGTTTTAAATATCAGAAAATTTGAATATTTTGAAATCATGGTCGTAAAATTCTTTTTTAAAAGTAGTGAATTTTTTTTTTTTATTTTTGTTTTGTTTATTGTTCATAGCTTTCAGATTATGTTCTTTTGCAAACAAACATTCAAGTTATTATGAACAATGATGGCTGTAAAATTTAAAAGCCGTAATATTAAAAAAAAATTTCAAAAAGAAATGTTTTTTTGTGAAACAATTGTGACCTAGAATTCAAAAAAAAAAAAAAATTCTCAAATTTTGATTGGGAATCGTTGAAAAATGACGAAATTTCGAGAATAATACATATCAAGAAAGGAATGTAGTTGCCATAAGATTTAGCCATAAATTCTCGGTTAGATCCGCACAATTAATCAACTTATGATCAACTTATGACGTGTCTTCGATTTTTTGAATTCATTATGTTGTGGCGCGATGGCGCAGCACGTGATTTATGTTCGTCCCCTCCAATAAATTTTTCTTGGATTTGCCGTGCTCTTGTATTCCATTTATTATCCTTTTTATCGAAAAAAATTCATATTTTGTGTCGCGAAGCGCTCTTTGTTCAAATCAAATATGTAGAACAAGTCAATGAATGATTCAAGCATATTTTATCAAATGAATCGCGGTCGCACTAAAATAGCAATCATTTCGCGTCACCAAATTCCTGATTTAAAAAAAAAAAAATATTGTCCCGTTATAAATCACTCTTTAGGATTTTAAGAGACGATGATTTTGATAAAGTCAATGCGGAAATCAATTGAAATGAAATTTTATGCGTAGATTAAATTAATAAATGCAAAAAAAGGAATTTGTGATTGCCAATGATCCCGCCCTGATAATAACATCAATCAATCATTCATTTATGTAATTTACAAATCCAAAAATGAAAACGGACTTGGACAATTTGGAAATGAAAGAGATTGTATCTTACATTATTCGTGGTTCATTTAATGCGTGAAATTTGAAAACTCCGAATAATGGCATCTAAATCTTTGATTTCATTATCTCGACTGTATTTGGAAATTTCACTTTGATACGATAACTTTAAATTATTATGCGCGTATTAACTTTGAAATAATGATTAGAACGGTAAATGCCGACATCTCAATAACGTTATGCATTTTCAATTACAAAAGTAGAACATGCAAAAAAAAAAGAACATCTGATTTACTTCATCGCTCGGTTTAGGTCTATAATATGAACATAAAAGGTAGATTATGAGTTTTACAATGATCCTAGATCACGATACCCCGAAACGCGCTAACGAATAATATCGAAAATCATCGAAATCAATGCATCTTCCACATATTGAATCAAAGGAATTCGCGATAATAAAAGCAAAGGTTAATGACTTATTATGTATGGTGGGTTCCTTTGAACAGAACAAATTAAGCGTAATAAAGAAATCCAGTTCCCTTTTTTTGTATAAATTAACTTTTCGCCGCCGGGTGGATAAAAAAAATCCATTGAATTCAAAATTCAAACGCCAACTATTTAATTTACCCTTTCCTTTCTTGTGTTCACGTAGATTTCCATTCTTGAGCTTTAAAAAGAAGTGCGATAACTAACTAGTCACAAACATTAAAATAATAACGCGTCTTCTGATCAACTCGATAGTATGGTAGGTAAAGTTTTCGAAATCCATTGAAGTGGTCTACAAGATAAGGGTAGAATAGATTTCGCGCATTAAATCGCTTTTTTTTTTAAAAAAAAAGAAAAAAAAAAGATGAAAATGAAAAATGAATTGATTTAACATGCTTAACATGACACCTCACGAATTGAGATGCCAAAATACGTAAATAAAATAATGCGCGCAAACTAATGAAAAATGCTAACTTGTGGAACAAAAAATCGAGTATCAATCATATTTTGATCTTATCAAGTTAATTTCAAGGTCAAATGACAAAAATATATTTTAAAAAACGTAAAGAGAATCGCGTTGTACGTTACATTTCAGAATCAAGAAGATAGATACAATACGTTATTATTGATAATCTTTTTTTTTTTTTTGGTTTATTTGGTTCAAGTTTTAACAAATAGATGTAAATCAAATCACGTGAATTTTTGTCCAACGTTGCATGCCAAATTTTGAAAGATATAAAGTTCGCAATTGTTGTTATTTGAAAATCCGTCGATTTGAAAAGATAAGAACTGATCACAATTAAATAATATATTGTTGTTAAATTTCGTCGTTGAATACAATCAATTTTTATTCGACGGGACAAAGATTCCGTCAAATCTTAACTTTATTTGTATATTAAAACAGAATATTTATTTATTTATTTTTATATTTTATATTTATTTATTTTTTTTTTTACGATCACCTAATTTATTTTCGTGACGAGAAAGATTTTCTTTTTTGGAATTTCTGTATAAATTAAAATTGTTATACGTCAAATTGCCTTTTTATATTATAATCAGAATCATCGGAGTTTTTAATTCCATAGAGTAGGAAAGATAAATCTTGAGATTTCTTCAATAATATAAATATCCATCATTCTCACTCCTCTTACTTTGGTCAGTAGGGATAAAAAAAAATTCGATTTCGATACACATCTTTCTCCTCTAATAGCAAAAATGAGTAGAAAGTACTCAGTCATTCGCCCAACTCGAAACATGAAAAAGAATCGTAATGAGCCTATGGTAGAAATACCGGATTTTGAGATTCCGTTTCCTCCAAAAGTAACGGCGCAAGAAATAGTGGCGCAAAGACCTCCGTGTAAATTAGGATCGAGGCCACCAAATATCTTCTTTCTGTATCGAATGAATTATATTAAAGCGCTAAAGAAAATATTACCAAATATTTCGATGAGACCTTTATCTAAACATATAAGTGAATCTTGGAGACAGGAACCCGAGGATCGTAAGGAAGCCTATAAAGTTTTATTTGATCAAGTGGAAAAGGCTTTAGAAAGCCGTAGGAGACAGGATCTAATTTTGGTTTCAGAAGACTTTCCTAAAGTTCCTAGAAACAATGCTAATACAATGTCAACGAATGTTGAAGAAGGCAACAAGGAAACTAACCTCCAACAAGATCCGCAAACATTTCCAGAAGGCTCGATCTCTACTCAGTACCCTAATCCGCCAGAACTATTAAATTTGACACCAACGTTTCCCTTATTTTATAATTATGATCTAAATACTTACTTTTATTATGACGATTACTTTTATCCTTATGAGTATTATCCAGTCCCCTATGACCAAAGTAATATGTAAAACATTTTTTACACAAATGTTCTTATTTTATTTTTTTTTTCGTTCATCTCGTCGTATTTTATCGTATTTTCGCTTTTTATTTTCGTTTTTTTTTTTTTTTTATCGCAAAATCGTAAAAACGAAATTTATATTTTTTTAAGTTTATGAGGAAAAAAACAAACAATTAAGTATGATAGGTATACACATAAATAAGTTTTAAGAATTAAGTTGTTACATTTATTCGCGTATCTTTACGTTTTTTTTTTTTTTTTTTTTTTTTTTCGTATAATTATTCGCTAGCAAAAATCTTTTTCAACAAAAATTTTTTCGTATTGTTTAAACAAAATAAAAACGTTTTTAAAAAAAAAAGTTTGCGTTCAAACTTTAAAAATTACCGTATAAGCATCTTAGAATGAAAGTTTCGATGCAATGTTAATGATCATCATTACTAAAATCGTGTGTTATAAAGAATAGGTTCTTACATCATACATACCCAATTTCAGCATTTAAAATCCCTTAAAATTTCGGAATCAGGAAAGTGTCAAATGTTGAAAAACGAAATATTTCTGCCAAAGACGAAATTTTTCTCGAAATTAGTTTCATACCGATTTATGCATTTTCTAAATTTATCACGACAATCGCAGTTTGGACCAAAAAAATCCGAAAATGGTGTAGCTTATTTATTATCTATATAGGGGTCTACATTTTTCTACATTTTTCTCATTTTCTGGTAAGTTTTTCACCTTTGAATTGTCATATATTTGTAAGAAATCCTTTTGATAGTATCGAAAATTTTAGTATCACAATATTATTTGAACAGCGATTTATATACTTTAATGACATTAATATTATTATTATAATATATTGTTTTTCTCAATTTTTTTTTTTATTATCAAGAAATTATTGTTCAACATATTTAACGTACATAATATATACTGTATTTACTGTATTGCTCAAACCTTTTTTAATAAAATAGAATGTCACTTTCTTAGCGGTAGCCATTTCACCAATCTTGTGGAATTCCTGACAATTCGCAACCTTTGAACCGGTTTTTTTTTGTCGGGAACCTTAATTAAAATTCGTTGAAACCAATTTCTTTTCATTGGCACAATCCTTAACACCAAACGGGAAACTTTTTTAAAATCTTTTGGGGTATGACTGATATCAACATTTTGTTTCTTCATCACCCATTAATTAGAAAATTTCTTTCGACATATTCCGATGTGGCTAATTGACGTCATTTACCGAAATCGCCATTTCACGACTATTTCACCGACATGACAATGTTAACGGTCACATTTTATTTTATTTTTTTTTTCTAAGAAAGTTAATTCAATTAGAACGATTCGTATCATTTGGATTTCCGATATATATTGATTCAAATGTAACAAGGAGGCGCAGTTAGACGTGGTCGCTTCGTTTCAAACAAAGCTGTCGTTGGCTTTGCCATTCGGGTTTCGATATAATGGAGATTTAGCGAAATGGGTCTGTTAAATGGAGATGTCGGAGTCGGTTAAAAACCGTCGAGGAAATGGTTCGTCGACAAAACATTGGTTACTGATGAATTCATTATATCTGGATTTCCGTGATGAGTTATAACTTTGTATTTCTATGTAACGAAAAAAAAGAAAAGAAAAAGAAGAATATACTTTATATATATCGTAAACTAATGATTTTCACTTTTACAACATATTTCATTATCATATAATACAAATGAAAATGAAGGGAGCGTATCCAAGAATCTTTTCTTTTTCATCGGTGACGGGAAAATGGAGATGTATGAAAGTTGACTTGGAAAGAAGATTAATAACCTTTGAACAAAGTTTCAAAATTTGGCTCTGGATTACCTCCTCTTTATTGGACAAGGTCCGATTACTTATCGACTTTCCTTCGTCCGTTGATCGCCTTGGTTTTATTTACCTCGACTTTAACCAAAGGTCTTCCATTTGTTTGTCAGTGGGCAATCATTTCGGATTCCGCAGCAAAGGCATGTCATCATATGCAAAAAAATAAATTGTTGTAAATAATAATAACAAACAAAATCCTGTTTGTGTAATGACGATTTAACAGTTTAACAAACAACCCTTTATTATCGAAACTGTTTTTTATTTATTTATTTCCTATAATGGAATGTTAATAGCGACAATCCTTTCTATTTCTTGATTCAATGTACTCAATTGGGTTGATATATAAAAAAAAATGAATAAATTAGACAACTTTCAATAACAGAAAAAAAATGTGAACCCTCGCTAATTCATCTCCATTTATAATTAAAACTTTATATCAATCAAAAGATGGAGCCGGATGTATCCTTAGGAACAAAAATCATAGTATCATTCATTTCTATAACATTCATGGTAGGTGGGGGGGGGGGGGGGGGGGAGAAAAAAAAAATTAAAAAAGGAAAAGTTAATTAATATTCTTCTCAATATAGGCTTATTTACATAATTCATTCATTTCCATAATAAGGTTCAAAACACAAAGGAAAATGCGTCAAATTTCATTAAGATAGTATTTACATGGAGCGGGTCTCTTAAATCAATAATGGAATTCATTTTATCCTTAAATCCATCAACATATCAGCGCAAAGTAACAATTTACGTCTTGTCAGGTACAACCTTACTTTTTAAGGCATCCTTAACCCTATTCATGTTAGGGAGACCAAGACAAATCATGAAGAATAAATGTGAACAAATCGTTGGTGTCGTATTGATTTTCATTTTCATCAGTTTTTATGTAAGTGAATTTGTTTATCATTTCCACACTTTCTTTGGAATAACGTTACCTTCACTTACGCCCGATGTAATTTAACAGGTCACGAATATAGCGTTACAAAATCCCGTCGTAATAATATATGAAGATACTCAAAAATGCAATAATTATAATTCATTGTATTGTTCAATCACGAGCTTTGGTACAATCATCTGTGAGTTTGTAATTGATACCTATGTTCTTTCTCGTCTTGTAAACATTTTTGTCAAACAAAATCCAGTAGAAGGGTTCATAAATAATTCAATAATGGGGTTAAATTTAATTAGATTGACTTTTACCGTTTTATCGCATTTATTTTTCGCTTTAAATATGATTCAAGTATTTGATAAGTTTGAAATTGGTTCGATCGTGATTTACGTTATCGGCGCCATCATTCGAATTATTCTCGTATATACAATCGCATCCGATTCTGATCAAACAAGGTTCTCCAAGTTTAGTAATGAAGGTAATAATGATAATTTAAACGAAATAATAGCGACGGGAGATGATCGATCACCCGTCATAAGGTTGTCCACTTTAGACGATCAACGAGATGAAGAAGAAATGGGAAAAATTGACTTCTTTAAAAGAAGCACATTTTTACATTGGCCATTTTTGGCACACCAATCTCCTGACGATAATAAAGATCCCGAGGAAATTCAAGAGAATCATCGACAGCAAACTTATTTGACGATGGAATCTAACAATCATGAAATGGGTAAACAAGAATTTGGAAGCAGGGCTTACCTACAACAAGAATCTCGAGATAAAAATCCCTTATACGATCTTTACGAGAGTTATTATCAAGATAGTAACGTTATTTCTGAATTCCTTGACTCGGATGGGGGGATCGAACAACAAGAATATATTCATGATGATGCGTTAACGATACCTGAACCCGTCATTAATGATGAGAGAGTATCTTTAACTGACAATGAAGATTTTGATAATTATCCCGAAAATGAAGGATACGAGAAACCAACATTTTATGGCGTTGCATTCTAAAATAAAATATGTAAAGTTCAAAATTTTTTACAACATTAATAAGGTAGTGTATTTACAATTTTACAAATATGGAAGTAAAATTTACATTGTTAGCAAATATCCTCTCCGAAATTTTCGACCTTTAATCTCCTAGTATCGTAACGAACATTTAAAAGTAGATAATAATATATATATATGTGATAATGTAATGTTATAAAGCAAGAAATCGCAAAAAAAAAAAAAAAAAAAACTTTTTGAAAAAAAAACACCGAATCATATGATTCTACAAAGTCTTAGTCGCAAGTCGCGAATTTCATAAATGCGTGGAATAGAAAAAGTAGTAGAACGGCATTTTTCGATTTTAGAAATATTCTGGTAACTTCCATCAAATTTCGAGTGAAAAATCTGACATAATAAATATTTACAATTCAACTTAGTAATTCGCATTAATGAAATTAATGCAGTGCAATATTAAAAATTAAAAATACCTGGAAAATTTTACGCTATCTTTGATAATTTTATTGTGATCCTGTTTAGACTTTTTTAATGTCTTTTGGTAAATAAGGATAATACAATGGTTCAAGAAAATCTAATTGGCCTTCGGAAACTTTGTCCCGAATTATCTGAATTGTTTCGCAAAGAAGCAATTAGAACGGGTTGATTCAATTTGAATAACTTCTTGTTCATTTTTGGCTACTTGTTTGTATTATCACAAAATGTTTTATGGGAATCGTTCCGATTTCGGTGCCAAGCTGCAGTCGTTAATGCATTAATACAATGCATTTTTTTTACAAAAATTTAATAGTTTGGGGTTAAACCATAATAGGTGTAGTGTTAATTATCTCACCCGTTTGACAAATTATTGATCATGGCGTTGATCATTTGGAAACGGTGTATTAAAAAATATATATATATATTTTTTTTCTTTCAAATTATTGCCAGGTAAACAAAGTAATGAATGAATGAATGAATGAATGAATTCTATTGTTTTTAAATTTTTATAATGCTGATGCTTTCGTTTCGATTGTTTTCCTACATGATATAATGCAAAAACGTTATTACGCGATGATCAAAGATTGTCATCAACGCAGTTATGCTATTAAAATTGGATTATTTCTTTCTTTTTTTTACTATTATTAGGGCACAAGGATAAATGTAATTTTATCTTAATTTATTATTTTTTTTTTTATTCGATGATTCCTTTTACTTTTATGTCTCTATTCAGTGACAAAAAATTTATTTTTATAATTGAACGCCACGGCGCCACAATCATATAACAAGATAACGCGCCTAGATTTACAGATCATTGCCATAAAGGTAGTTTACAAAGATCGAAAAAAAAAGAACCAATAACGAAAAAGGGAATCTGAATCAAAAAAAGATCGATTGCTGATTGGTTCACTTCTTGTATGCTGCGTGGAAGGAAAATTGTTTACTTTTTAACCTTTGCCCTTTTTCGTGAATTCGATCTAATTGGTTTCGTCATTAATGACAGAGGTGGAACGTTGGACGGAATCGTTATCAGGAAAATCCATCGTGCGAATTCTTAAATGTCACCCCTTTCATACCTTTTAATCATTCATGATGCATGAAGTAAGCAAGTGTGGTAACATCATTTTATGCCATAAAAAGTTTTTAATTCAAATTGTCACATTATAAAATTCCTTTATGGGTTGGTTACATTGAGTCTACAGCAACCATAACGCGACATTCATGTAAATTAAGTTGCATCGCCTGTCGCCTGAATTGGGAATTAGGATATCGGATTTTAACATGTACAAGACCCTTTCACGCGCGGTTGTTATTTATCTTTACCACCTTTACTTTAATAGACACAACTTTCACTAATGAAGGATTGTCTTCCCAGAATGTTAAAAAAAAAAAAAAACAGATCAACGAGATAATAATCGAATGATTATTATTAATACACAATTATGTAAGCGACGGATTGATCAAGCATATAAATATGAATGTCTCCATACGATGAACATTTCAGTTGGAACAATTCCCTCATAAAAATTCATACAAAATGCCAAAGTATAATGAAAAGGATAATAAAGGTTCCGACGATTTGGCAGATTTCAAATTACCTTTTCCCCCAAGGATCACGGCTCTCGAGGTGGTCTCTTTGAACAAAAAGAAGGGTAAAAAACCTTCAAAGTCCTCAAACGCTTTTATGATCTATCGAAAAGTTTTTTCTAAAGAAGTGGCAAAAAACCATCGGTTCCAACAGAAGAGAATTTCTCCCATTTGTGGTGATTTCTGGAGACGTGAGCCAGAGCATGTTAAATACGAATATCATAAATTGGCGAAAGAAGTTGACAAATTATTCTTGCAATTACGCGAAGAAACTTCACTTCAAGACAGAATCGAATGGAACATGAAAGCCGATCCGCAAATAACTCTACAAAGGTTGGAACAACCGTTTCCTTCGAACGAGCCAGGACCATCTATAGAATATTATTTGAAAGAATTCGACAACTTGGATCATAATTCATGTATTCCAGATCCATGTGATAGTTATGAAAATTTCGAATTAAATTATCCGATCGCTCCAATTTATCCGAACGTAAACCTTCCTTTAGTGGAGGACCCGACGTTCAACCCGTATTATGATTGGAACCTTGCGCAATATGGTCTTGCGCAATATGAATCGCAACTTCCGTCTTACGAGATTTTTCCCGAACTTTAATAGTCCTTTCGATTTATTTATTCAACAATAATTTAGATATTTTTTTTTCTAAATTAAATATTTTTAACGATGACGATTCTTTTTTTTTTTCGGTTATGATTATTTTCCCTTAAGTTTATATATGACATTAAGGCAATTATGAAAACGAAATATTATGATCAAAATCTTACGATTATGGTAAAATGGACATGGAAAACTCTCAAATCAACAAATAAAGATACACTCTTAATAAAATAAGATTCATAAGAAAGATTAAATAAATTAGATAAGAATAAATCCTTTTAGCAATTTTGGTTAGCGAATCTTAAAATAGTTGAAGGTGCCGATCGTTTTTTTTTTCACTCGTTTTTTCCCCCCTCCCAACGATTTAAATAAATAAAATCACTATAAATTTTAAGTTAATGCGATGGTTTACTTTATCAATGAAACCATTTTTTATGACCCAAATTTGATCTGGACATTTATTACATTTATTGTCTTTTCCAAAAATGGCTTGATAGTGATCTACAGTATGCGTTCGGAAAACCGAAAATAATCCAAAGTACAAAAAGATTGTTAAAAAAAAAAAAAAATTAAAATAAAAAGTACTTCGAAAACCGTTTATAAATTTTCCGAAATTCCCCGTAAAACTAGATACCTGTTTCTATGTTACTTCAAAGAAATCTTATTTATTTGTATTTACGGAATAAGCTCCATTCTACAAGGCAGTCACGTTTTATGTAAAGAATTTTTTCCGTAAATCCCACAAAAAAATTAGGGAGTTATCCCAAGTTTGGAAATAATTGAAAATGTTTTCATGTTTATTAAAGTATAAAATTAGCGATGAAAAATTTATTCTTGGGAAATTCGAAAATTTACGTGTAACCGTTAAAATATTTCAGTGAAGAAAAAAAATAAATCATACATATTTATTTACTCAAGTAAATTATCATACCTAATACATATATAATTAATTAACATGTGAAAAAAAAGTAAATATTTGCATAACATATAAAATTCTTATACATATATAATATATATATGAAACCAGAATCCATATACATAGATATTATAAAACAAGTTCTATACAGGTTAATTGATAGTGGGATCATAAAAATTATTTCACATGAATTCCGGATAAAATAAACAAAAAAATTCTGGTTAATGTTTGAAATCTTCATAGTAACCCAAATACCATTCTAATTTATCTTCTTCGAACCGAAAACCTTCATTGGTCTCTTTATTACTGCTTTCATTATTGAATTCGGATGAAGATTTATAAACGTCTTGTTGAAATTGATTTGTAATGTAGGAAATATGAGGATCGTTGCTGAATGATTGCGAACTTTGCTTCGGATGAGTGTTCAAGGGTAACGTCAATTCTTCATTTAACATCATTCGCTGATTAGTTGTGGAAGAGCAAAGCGAGATCAAATTCAAATTCAAATACTCTTCACAGTTAATATCATCTTTAAAATGGGTTTCACAAATGACGTTTCTAGGATGTTCAACCGAAACAGCTTCATCGTTTGAAAATGAACTTTTTCTAGAATCAAGGTTTCTTCGTCGTCTTCTCTTCACGACCTTTGGTTGTTCAACATAAACCAAATCCCGGTTTCTCATATCATTCAACTCTATTTCAACCTGTTTGGAGATTTTCTCGTAGGCCGCTTTGACTTCTTGACTTTCATTCTTCCAATGATCGCTAACAAGTCTTGAAACTTCTGTCATCTTAAGCCTATGGTCTAAAAGTGACAAGTGGTCGACAAATGCTTTCCTATAAATGAAAAATGCATTTGGCGTTTTCGAACAAATTTTCGATCGACGTCTTTTGTGTGCTATCTCATAGGCAGTAATGTTTGGCGGAAATGGAAGTATAACACGGGGTAGGGTGGAGAGGGAGACGATGTTAGAGGGGGGATAGATGCACGGACGGAAGATGTCCAAAAGCTTTTCCGAATTCATTTCTTCAATTATGGTACATTCGTACTTTGCCTTTTTAATGAAAGAATTATGAATTTTCAATGACAAGATGTGAGTGGAGGGGAAAGAAATTATTCTTTTCGGAACATAAAATTTAGCGTCATATAAATAATTTATGGTGTTACCTCATAAGGAAACAAAAATACACTAATAAAGTTTAAGAGAACAAAGCGGGTTTTTATCTGTAAATTTCAAGATAATTAGTTCAATCTAAAGTTTTTGCCAGATTGGGTTGCTTTTTACTGCGGAAAACAAACAAAATTAATGGGAAATCCTGAAGACCATAATTTTCCGGTTTCTTATTATAGTTTTGTGGAATGTTATTTTATTTATTTTATTGAGGCTGGGTGCAGTGCATGACATTCATATCATACATACATACATAACACAAATAATGATGATCATTTTCGAATATTCTAAAACATAAATTCCCGCTTCTAAAAATCATGCATTCGTACTTGTGGCGGAAATGTGATTTTTGAGGATTGTGAATAATTAATTATATTATTCATTTTTTTTTTTTTTTTTTTTAATAAAAAAAATTAGTTATTTTAATTTAGATAAATTATTTGTAATTAATTGACTGGTTCTCTTTCAATGTACCATGATATCCAAAGATGCCATCAATGTAATGAATAACGTAGCAATAATCTATTTAAAATTCTTCACAAAAAAAATACTGCGGATAATATGACACGATCTAATCTCTCACATGTCATAGAATCTATTTTTTTTTTAAACAAAACTATTCCCAAAAATGTAGTTTAATAAAATTTAAAAAAGTTCAATCAATATAATTTTTAACGGAGAGATCTTTGTTTCAATAATTTTGATCATAATTTTTATTTTCCCTCCCTTTTGAGAAAAAGGAAAATATTGATTGATCAATCGGAAACAAAGTGTATTTATTCTGCATGTGTGCTAAATTGATTTATGATGATTGAATGTGAGTGGTGCCAAAAGAAAAAAATCCCTAGCGGATTTCATCGATTAATGGAGATGGCTACTTTTCTCCGGATATGACTACTCAAAAATCCATTGTCTGTTGTAATTCATTCCTATTATGGAATTATAAAATTTCGAAATCTTAATACCAAAAGAAGGTTGAATAGTTATCCAACCAATGAAATATTTCAATCAAAAGTTAATAAGGTTCACAAATATAGAAAATGTATAAAAATGCTTGATCAATAAAGAAATATTTTCATTAAATATCCAATCGACGGAATCCCCAAAATGTTAAACCTAATAATATACCAGGATCTCCATTGATAATATCCAAAGAGAGACCGAATAAGAGATAGCACAACCTTGAACATAAGTGTAACCTCGTGCGAGATTTGGCTTTTTATTCTCATTATTAACATATTTGATATATCCTTTCAATACACGAAGGTTTTTGTTGAACATTCCTAAAAAAATGAAATGAATGATTTATTTCATCCTAATATGGTAAGTAAATATATACACCGACACATTTATGGAATAGTTACGCAGATCTTTTGGACGCGTCAAAATTTAAATTTAAATCTTTTTTTCGCCAAATGCTCTAATAAATTCTTTGTGTATGTGAAACTTTACAAAATTTGAGATGCACCGAGTTTGTGTGAGAATTTTTTCCTCATTTTTTCAATCATTTTTAATTGAAGAATATAAAAATTTTTGTCACCCCGAAACATGATTAGTAAGAAGCCAGACTTCCAAAGTCCCTTAAACAATTGCCCTGCCCTTGTATAACGGATGAACCGCGAGACATGTCAATGCATATTCCTTCTAAGAAACATATTGTCATTAATAATTGTGCTTCAAAAAAACTTTACTAGATTTGTACGCCAAACTTTAAACTATTTTACGCCATAAATTTCTTTGGTCCTTTCTCTCTTTTTTTTTTTTTTTACCCAAATATAACTAAATCGTTGCAGGTTTTGTTACAGGAGAAGAATATATAGTAGAATCAAGATAAGCAGCATAAATAATCACTATAAAAAATGTATTGAAGTATTGTAAAAAAGCATCAAATATAAATAATCAAAGTTGCGTGATTCTAATCAGACGCCTTTTCTTTCTTTTTTTGTTCAAGACTTATGTAACGTGAAAGAAAGAAAAAATATATAACCAAATTTGCATTGTCAGACTTTTAAATTACAAATTACAAATTACAAATTACTGTTATACTATATATACATCTTCTTTACATAGATTTTTTAAATAACTTTTTAAATCATTTCAATACGAGAATTATGCATTCATACTAATCTCCTTTTATTTTTATTTTTTATTTTGTTTACCCGAAAATTTATATTGCTTTAAAGAATCATGCTTAATCAAGATTGTATCCATACATTTATATTATATCGTGTCTTTATGTCTTAATTGTCCTCCTTAATAATGTCATACAACGATATATAAAAATCCAAAGAATGTCAGCTTTGGTACGGGTATGGGGGCTCAGATCCAATAATGATTTTGTAATTTAAGCTAAATTAAGCAATTATATACACTTGCAGTTTTATCAGCATGTGCGTATTGCTTCGGCATTTATAATATCAATATTAACACCTTTGTTTAATCATGCTTACATGCTTGTATGCATAAAAATGTTCCGAAAATGCAAGCGTGATTAAGCTAGAAATCATATAAAAAGAACGAGTTTTTCCTTCCACTTTGAAATATGTCCTTTTGATCCATCATTCAAAATTCGACCTTCCTCCGGATTTTGCTCCCTTCAAATAAACGAAACTCTCCTTTACCAAACTCACTTGAAATATT